TATGACTTACGTGTGATTCATGTAAGGCTGGAATGGAATATTATATGTGAGAGAGTGAATGCAAAACACAACTGCTTGGGTTGAGCTCTGTGTACAGTCTGCTTTATTAAACCGTTCTTGGTACATTTCATACTTTCGGCGTGCTTGCGTCAACGGCATGCTTGCGTCGTTGCGCTACATCTCCCTTTTTTTTTTAAAGAATTTGTTTTACTTTAAACAATGATACAATAATATAATGATTATTTCAATGACTATTTTATCTGAAAATCAAAAGTTATTTTATCCAAAGATTAAAGGTTAGCTACTCCTCTTTTTCTTTGTGTTTAAAGTGGAAGAAATTCTAAATTCAAATTCATACCTTTAGACTACAGATTTAATTTTTCTGTTTCGGGTTTTACAATTTTTTTTCGTTTTTCTTTGTTGTTTTCAACATTTTTTTTGATTATTTGCTCTTACATGCTATTGAGATTTAATGTTCTATTGCAAATTACATCTGTGTTACTGGATTCTATTAAATTTATATGAAATTAAATGAAATTAAAACTATTTTGTGTTGCTATGGAAATTACTGAGCTGGTTGAATTTTATTTTTATGAACGATTCTAGTCTTTTGTGTGCTTTCTTCAAGAATTTCTACATTGGGTTCTGAAATACTTTTAACAATGAATGGACCAATGTAGGGTGGTTTATACTTATCATAAGGCTCTTTCATTATGTAAACTTTGTCACCAATCTCAACCTTAATATTTCGCATTGTTTTGTCGTAATAAAATTTATTACGCAATTTGGATTTTTCCAATAATTTCTGCGCGAAGCCGTGCGCGGTATGTAGTCGATATTTGGCTTCTTTTACAAAATTGTCAAAGTTGTAGATTGGATCGATTTCCTTATTTTCTAAATATGATGGCAATGATGCCTTTTTACTAAAAACTAATTCGAAAGGACTGTATTTATTGTCAAAACTCGAATGAGTACTTATGTTATAACAGAACGTGAAATACTTTAAATAATCTTCCCAGTCGGACAGATTGTTCACATAAGCGCGGATATATTCGTTGAAAAATCTATGATTGCGTTCGATACTACCGACTGTCTCATGTCTATACGGTGTCGAAAAGACCTGATTAATGTCAAATAGTTGACAAAGTTCAGATAAAACAGAATTTTTGTATTCCGTACCACGATCCGAGCGAAGTTCTTTGAACATTCCGAAAATTAAAATGCAATTTTCCATTATTGCCTTAGCAACGGTCTTTGCAGATTTATCGGGAATTGCGCAAGTGATTAAATATTTGGATAAGTCGCAAATCATTGTGAGTATGTAAACATTACCGTAATTTGATTTCGGCAATGGACCCACTGTGTCAATAATGAGTAGATCGAATGGCTTTTGCGGTGTTTTTGTAATTGTCATAGGTGCCTTCGTTTTGTCTCTCGGTTTGTTTACTCTACATTTTTCGCATGAATTCACAAATTTAGCGATTTCTCTTGACATATTTTTCCAATAGAATTGGCTTCTGATTTTCTCGTAGAGCTTCTTTTGACCAAAATGACCGCCTACAACTGGATCGTTGTGGTATTTTGTCATTATTTCAATTTTTCTATTTTCGTCATCAATCTTTTCAACAGGTGTAATAAGCGAAATTTTCAGATTTTTCAATGTTTTTTCTGACATGTCTTTAAATTCATTTATGCTGTATGCGGTAAAAAATTCATCGTGCATTGGCCATTGTAGCGTGCTATTTTTGTGAGACGTTGCCATTTTTTCAAGGCTCGAAAGAATTTGCTCTAGAGGAAATTTTTCGTTAACGTTTTTATGCACGAATTCTATTTCAAATAATTTTCTGTGGTTTTTATAGGCGCCTACCACTGTTGTTTTTTCATTGAGTGCACTTTTTATTCTTGGAATTTGACGCACATATTTTCTTGAGAGCTCTTCAATTACTTTGGGTTCTGAAATGACCACATTATCAACTTTTTCTTTATCGCTTGTGTTTTTCGATCCATTGAGACGCTTCAGTTGGGCTCGGGTCGTTACTAAAATGACATTTTCGTGATAGATCTCTTTGAGGTCTTCTATTGAAATTCGAGATAATGCGTCGGCGACGACATTATCCTTACCAGCGATATGTTGAATTTCGAAGTCGTAATCCTCGAGTTCTAAACGAATTCTGATGAGTTTTGATGCTGGGTTTTTCATATTATATAAATAAACCAGTGGTTTATGGTCAGATTCGACAAGAAATTGTGTGCCATACAGGTATGGTCTTAAATTTGTCACAGCGAAGTGTATCGCAAGGAGCTCTTTCTCTATTATTGGCTTATTTAATTCACTCTTCTTAAATGACCTTGAAATGTAACATATTGGTAAATCATGTCCATTGAAATTTTGACTTAGGACTGCTCCACAAGCTTTATGGCTTGCATCGACAGTCACCTTGAATTTTTTCGAAAAATCAGGGTACTGCAAAATTGGAGGATTTAAAAGATGTTCTTTCAATTGTAAAAACGAATATTCACATTCAGTCGTCCAACTGAATACAGAACGTTTCTGTGTCAAGTGATTTAAAGGTTGTGCCAATCGAGCAAAATTAGGAATAAAACGTCGATAATAATTCGCGAAAGCGACAAATCTTTTTACTTCTTCTTTACTTGTCGGTTTTGGGTATTTTAAAACTGCTTCAATTTTTCTTTGATCAGGTAATATATGGATCAGGTTGTACCATCTGCGGTACAAGTGTGACCCAAAAAAGTTACCTGAGGTTGGAAAAATTCGCATTTGTCAGGATTGAGTTTGAAATTACACTCTCTACATATTTCAAAAACATTTCTCAAATTTGCGAGGTGATGACTCTCAGACATGCCAATGACGATTATATCGTCCATGTAAATAAATGCTCTGTCCGCGGGTAGTTCCGAAAAAGCAATGGACATCATGCGGCTAAAAGAATTTGGTGCAATATTTAAACCGAATGGAAGAACTTTCCATTGGAATGAACCTTTTTCTGTGCTAAAAGCAGTCATTTCACGTGAAGATTTTTCCAGTGGAATTTGATGAAACCCACTGTAGAGATCCAATACTGAAAAATACTTTGCACGTCCTAATCCATCCAGAATATCGTCGATTCTGGGCAATGGGTGTTTATCGGCAATTAATTTTCGGTTCAACATACGATAATCCACGCACATTCGCCAGCGTTTTTCATTATCAACAGACTTTTTTGGCACGAGAATGAGTGGACTATTAAAACTTGATGTTGATAATTCAATCAAATCATCTTCTAATAGCTTTTGAACCTGTTTATTAATTTCCTGTTTTTGCGAATGAGGCAGACGATAATTCTTAACGAATACTGGTTCATTGTCTTTAGCACGCAATTTTTGTTCATAGAAATTATTCACAGAGAGTTTGTCATCAGGCATTGCAAAAATGTCGGCAAATTCTGTGCAGAGTTTGGTAATTTTATCGCCCATGGTGTAATTTGATTTTTTAGAAATTTTCTCGATCACATTTTTTGTTCGCGATTTTTCATTTTCAGTTTTTTCTACTTTAAAAATATCGAATTCTGACAATTTTCCTGAAATTTCAATAACGTTTTTAATAGTTATCGGCTCATCGTTTATATTCAAGACCCGAATGATGGGATTTTCAGAATCAATTATGGTGGATGGAATAAAAACACCATCTGAAATTTCACTATTTAAAATGACAGATTTTTCAGTAAAATTTGAAACATGAAAAACTCGAAATGTTTCTGATCGAGCGGGAAAAACGATCGTATTTTCTTGCGGTTCAAAATTAATGGGAATTACAATTTCATTTCCCGCAACTCAAATTGTAAATGTCATGTCCAGGTAATCAATTTTACACTTGAATTTCTTGTTAAATTCTTTACCAATAATTCCATCAGATGGAATGTTGAAATTATTCGGTACGACATGAAATTTATGTGTGATTGTGTAGTTCGGGAAATAAATGTCTAGTAGTACTGTACCGTATGACGTAATTGGTTCATTTGTGACGCCTTTGATCACAATTTGTTCGGAATCGTCAATTTCAATACCTTCATTTAAAGCCTCAGCTTTTATTACCGAAATGTCGGCTTGTGTGTCAGAAAGGAAAGATGTGTCTCGATTGACTGTGTTGTTACATTGAAGGCTTATATAATCAGCATAATTTAAATTGAAACTGCACACATTTTTGGTCTTTTTTAATTTTGATTGACCCTTTGGAATGTCACTATTTGACCTTCCTGTACCCGCCGGTCTCCCGACGGGGCCTGCGAGTTTTCCGAACTGGCGACACGCACGGTGAAACGGTCGTTTTGGTTGTTTTGGTTGAAGTTATTACCATAATTATTGTATCGACCGCGCCCGCGACCACGACCACGTCGATTGCCACGGAAATTATTCCACGGTTGGCCATTGTTTTGATTGTTGAAATTGTTGAAATTTCGATTTTGGTTTTGTCGCTGGTTGCCTCTACCACGGAAATTGTTATTATTTCGGTAGCCACCGCGATTGGCATTCTGTTGAAATTGAGAAAACTTGAAAATTTGCTTTTCTCTGATGTCAGTGGCGCTTTCAACAACAAATTTAGCAACCACTTCTTGAGGATCGGAGAATGAAGTTGATGCCATAACAGAACGTACCAAATTGGATTTCGCAGTCTGACGGCACATTTCAACGGTTTTTTCGACAGCCATTGATTTAGCTTTGGCTTGAGGAATGCCCTCAACAATCAAACTTCTTTGCAAAGATTCGGCCAGTTTTTCAGCCTCCTTTGTGAATTCGCTTGTTTTGGCGTTGTCTAATTTGAGTGCCATCATTTTACCCTCGACGACTTTCGAACTGTCGAGCTTAATATTTTCACGCAATGCGGTAATGATTGCATCAACATCAGCTGGGTTAGCTGGAATGCTCTCCAAGGCTTTTCCACTGAGTTTTGTCAAAACAAATGTTTTCAAAAGCTCAAGATGAGTTGGTCCAAGTGTTTTCAAAAGATTGATCGAATTGATGAAAGCATTCAATTCAAGTGGATCGCCGGAATAAGTGTTGTGCAATTGCTTTGCACACAAGGCAATAAAACTATGTGCTTCCATTTTGATTTTCTGTGTATTACTTTGTGACAATGGAATGTTATTGTTCGATTTATTGGAATTAACACCCGAACCCGAAGCGAGTGTTTTTGGAACGGTTGGAGTTTTTTCTTCTTTTGGTGAACCGATCAGAATTTCAGTCGAAAGAGTTAACTGTGACTCCGTTTTATTGGCTTCATCAGCAACTTTTTCAGTTACAATTGGCGTATTTGGATCACTCACAATCGGAGAATTAGTTGGATCACTTGCAATCGGAGCAGTAGATAAATCGCTCAAACTATCATCAGTAGGTTCATCCAATTTCGGTAATTCTCTTATGTCAACTTGGTCTAACAATTGAGAAGGCAGAGCATTTTTTATCTTCAAAGCATCATAACACCTTCTTAATTTGTCGCGTAAATCATTTATTTCATTAGTCACGTCTGTTTTATCATCAAATGTATCAAAATATGACGCAATGTAATCAGTGTACTCGTTGTATGCTGTTACTATTTTATGTTTATATTGTTCATGTTTCACACGACTCTTACTAAATTCTTGTTTCAAAACTAATTTGGTTTGCGTTATGAAATTCTTCTTATAATTGTCATGTGTTCCCGCTTTATAACTTGACATGATACGTTACATCTCGCTTTGTTTATGTACTCCGCTTGCAAAAAAAAATATGTGGCCAAACAAGAGCGCGACAGAAAAATTCAACGGAATTCAATCGATTGTTTCTTATGTTTATGTCTGTGAATATTCTTTTCAATATGTCAGCAACTGTATTCCTACTGTGCAATACTTTTTCTACTTAATCAGATTAATAAACGTTCACAAAAAAAAAAAAAAATAGAAAATGCATAGTTCGCGATGAAAGGAATGTAAAACTTATTGTTATGTCTACTTCAAATGAAAAAAAAAACAAATGAAATGATATGACCAATGAGAATAAACGCTAACACGACCAAAGCAACGATTACATATTCATGCAACTCAATCGAAATTCAAATTGAGAACATATCTACATATACATATATATGTAAATTGTAAATATATATAGCGTTCAGTTAAAACAAAAATTCGTTGATTCTCCACATTGCTCTATATCGAATGAAGTCATAAATTTTACTTTTTATTGCCGTTTGCAAGATCGTCGCGAAATTCGGCTGCGATGTTTACAGTTGTTATCCAAACAATCACCGATCACGGGTTCTACGAATCGATTACCATTAGCGATGAACAGCGTGATGACTCACAGTAGCATGATTAGTGTTGGGCGTTGGCTGCTTTCGATGTTGGCTCTCCCAGCCGTCGTCACATTTCGTTCGATTTCCAAATCTCAGTTTTTGCTCCAAAATTCGTCTTCGAATTCGATGAGAGAACAATGTCGTGTGATGCTATGAATATGCGTTAACAATCAACACGAATGTTCCGATGCTTCCGATCAAATTGTGATAAAAATCGGTAAAACAGCTGGCTCTCTTTGCAAATTCGACTTGGCTCAATTCACTCTCACTCGATTCTCACGTGATTAAATTTATGATTACTTGTATTATTTTAACTTTTTCTAATGTTCATGTTCATTTTATTGTTTTGCTGCGTTTTAAAACTGTCTTTGCTTTATATTTTGTCAATTGTTTTTATTTTATTTCGATGGTGGATGTATTTGTCTTTAATCGATGAAATTACGCATTTTAATGTTTTTTTTCACAATTTTATGTTTGTTTTGGTGAAGCAAAAGTGAAATTATTCGATGAAATTGTTCGATTTAATGTTTATTTCAATTGAAAGTGGCGTATTTCAACAGCCAAATGTAATTTTGTTCAAATTTTTTTTTCTATTTTGTCGACGATTTTTCTTCACTGATTGAATTCTATTGAACACGCAGAACTGGCTGATCGCAGTTGATTCGATTTGAGTCGATTAAAATGTTGTTATTATTTTTCTCTTTCACTTTTGATGCACTGAGCTGCGATTTTTACTTTTTTGGTCAAATAAAATTCAGAACTTTTTGTTCAACGTTGATTTTGCTCTTTGCAGAAAGTGTGTTCAGTCAACAATTTTTATGAATGTTCGATGAAATGACTTTTTATTCGATGATTTAGATTGACTTTTCTTCACTTTTTGCTTTATTATGATGGTCTATGAATTGTCTTTCAGTTTTTATTGTTTTATATTATTTTATTTTATTGTAACTTATAAAAAAATCCGAGCCGGAATCGCCATGTAGAATATATGACTTACGTGTGATTCATGTAAGGCTGGAATGGAATATTATATG